ATATATAAATATATAATTAATCTTTAGTCATAGAGTTGAGGTGAAACATTTGGGTCATGTTAGACGGGTCAACCCTAACCCGCAACAATCCCAGGCGGGCCGAGTTGCACAATGCACCACAACCCGGCGGGTTACTGTTTTGTCTCTTTGCAAGAGACCCTCAACCCGACTGGCTAGCCAAAATAAAAAAATAAAAAATTTTATTTTATTTTTCAAATTCCCCTTTACCTTTGAAATATAACCTAGAGAGGTCTTTTTCGTCCTTTTTCTTTCCCATTTTTCCTATAAATTGGCCCTAAACTCTCACATTTTCTCACAACTCAATTCTCTCATTCCTCATATTCTCTAATCTCTAATCTCTAATCTCTAATCTCTCAATTATTCTTATTCTCTTAATCTTTTTTATCAATTTGCTCATATTTTATTTTATTAGTTTTTGCAATTTTTAATTCATATTTATAATTTTCCAAATTCCAATTTCCATATTCCAATTCTCTTTCTTTAATTTTTATTTATTCTACATCATTTTTTTTTTCAACTCAATGGATAGATATTTATCTACATCAATTATATGATGACGGAAAACTACTATCCTATCCTAGTCCCGTTTATTTTAACTAACATAAATGCAGGAGGAGATTCAAATAGTCCTGCTTTCCCACTCTCAAAATCCGATACACCTCAAAATATGCCCCCATTCCAACAGCTCCAGGTGGTTCTAGAAGTCGTCCATCGTATCGTCGTGCCGTCCAACTTCATCTCAAGCTGAGCGGGATCATCACTGCGTCGAAAGCGAAGACAGACCACATTGATGTTTGGACCATTTCAACAAGTTTTACGAGAAAAATGGACGTTCAAGTCAAGAAAGCGAGATGCAAATACTGTGGAAATATTATAGCTGATTCAGGGTAAGGGTACTAGTACTTTAAAAGCATGCTAATAAACATATTAATCAACATGGAAATAGAGTAAGCAATCAAACCAAATAACTAATATGGGTACTAATTGGCGTTATAATTCTGATGTATATAGGGAACAATTAGCTTTATATATTGCTACAACTGATCAACCTATTAATATGGCTGAAGATAATATTTTGAAAGATTTGCTCAAAATTCATTTTTTCCAGGATTTAAAAGTTATTCTAAAACTGCAACTAGAAATGATTTAATAAATTGTTTAAAAAAATGAAATTAGAATTAAAAAATAAATCCATACTTGTTATGTTAGTGTGGCTGTAACTCCGATATTTGAAGTGGGTAGAGCTAAACAAGATTATATTTGTGTACTAGTCATTATTTTGATAATGAATGTAAATTAAATAATCTTTATTAGGATTTAGTTAATAGATGTTGATCATAGTGGTGAACAATTTATAATAAAAGTGTTAAGTTTTAGAAAATTATGATATTGTTAGTAAGTGATAAGTTTAACTTTAGATAATGCAAGTTCTAATAGTAAAGCATATATTATTTTCAAAGTAATTATCCTTTATATAACAATTTGAAGTTTTTCACCAACGTGTGCATGCCATATTATTAATTTAATTATGAAAAGTGGTATGAAAACAATTAAAGAAAATATTAATAGAATTAGAGATCGTTTAGCTTGGATTACTAGTAGTAATAAAAGAAATGTTGAATTCAAGACGATTGTATAAAATCAATATGTCTCCTAGAACTTTGCATTAGACATGCATGTGATGAAATAGTACTTATTTAATGCTTGATTCATGTTTACCTTATGCTAATTAATTAGTTATTTTGTAACAATAATAGAGGTCCTCATTATTGTGGTAGAAATATTGGCAAATACTAGATATTCATTCTTTTCTTAAAACAGTTTTACCAATCCACTTACAACTTTCTGGTGTGTATTATCCTACTAGTCATGGTAATACATACAATTATAAAATTTCTGAGTTATTTATAAAAAACAAAGACAATGTAATTTTAAATGCACCAATAAGGCTGGAATTTTTTTTTTTTTAAATATTGGGACCCATTCATTTTCTTTATTGTTTAGGTCCTATATTGTATCCTAGAATTAAATTAGCAGTTTAGAAAATGGTTTTGACAATTTATGTGAAAATTACAAACCGAACTATGCCATCAAATAGGGAGGTAAAAAATACACTTTTTGAAGTATTTTCTAGTATGAAAAATAGGTATGGGAACCCGCAAAGAGGCAAAACATCCAGGGAAGTCGCATCAGAAGAAACAAATGAAGACTTCTACTCTTTGGGGTGCACTGAATAGGTCAAAGAAGACCCGAATTCGAAGCACAACCTCCTCTTCAGAAGTCTCCACCAACAACAACAACTAATGTATTGTCTTCCATGCAGTCGCAGAGTAGAGCTTCAACAATATTTGGCAAACCGTGAAATGTTACCAGTAGATCCACAATAGAGAGCCAACATGATCTCTTAGACTATTGGAGAGCCAGAAAATGTATTTTTCCGGTATTATCAAGACTTACCTGGATGTTTTCGCTGTTCCTTTCTCAACCATCTCATCCAAACAAAATTTAGTGCAAGCGGAAGAATTTTAAATGAAAGGAGAACTAAACTTTCACCACAATGATTGAAGTCCTCACATGTCTTCGAGATTGGGAACGGTCGCGCCATCAAGGTCAATACAGGTTGTCAACGATACTTTAATAAATCATTTCAATTTTGTAATATAGATATACGGAGAGGGAGGTCCTAGTGAATCCCAAATAGTTGCTTTGTAAATTGTACCTTGACAAATTAATTGTCAATTATTGCACTTTTTTTCCTTACCAACTTTTTGTCCTATTGGGTTTTTTCTGGTGTAGTGGTTTAACAAGGCAATATTATTGTAATTTCTATTTTATTTTTTAATAAATGAATAATTTTAATTATTCTTATATTACAATTTTAGGTTTGAAAATTGAATTAATATTTGGAATGTAACAAAAAAAACTATTTAATTTAATTATTGATATTTGAAAAGAAATAACAATTAACTAAACATTACATTTATTCTTATAAATTGTTAATTATCATTTGAAAATTAATTAAACATTTAAACTTAAAACAAATAAAACAAAACAAATCAAAATAAAAATCAAAAAGCGGGTTAACCCACCCAACCCGCGCCTAACCCGGCGGGTTAGGGTTGGCGGTCCGTTTTGGACCACCAATTCCTTAATATTGGCGGGCCTAACACGGCCCGCCAATGTCACTGAGCAGGTCAAGACCGACCTGCCATTAATAGCAACCGCCGTGGGCCAGGCGGGTTGCTTTTCCACTCTAGTCATAAGCTATATGATTGCCATTTTGAGGGTTAAAATTCCTTATTTTGACACGTCTGTAGATTCCCCGACACATGGCTAGATTTGATGGTGAAATGTAATTGTTTACCTTTGGTTGGATTTATTGTGATAGTAGCAAATTGATGAGTTATACTTTATGGTATATGTGACTTCATGAATTGGTGTTTCATATTGTTTGTCATAATGAGATTTTTAATAACCTTATGATTGTTGTTTGTTTCACATGACAATAAATATTTACTTTACATAACTTTATAACAGAGAACATTATTGATTGCAGTTTGTTTATAAATTTTTGTGAATGTAAAGGGTTTTATACGTTGTCCTTTATTCATTGTTATTAGGTTCTCTTATTTCATTAGGAGAGTATTTTTTTGTTCTAGTAAGATTGTAGTAGGTTTTAAGCCTATAAATAGATCCTAAATTGTAACGTGTTGTTCATGCTGATTAATAAATAATATTATTGAATTTTCTCCCCTAAATTTCTTCTTTTCCCTCCCTCTCAATTTCTCTCTTCTCATCTCTTTGATGTAGGAAAAGAAAGAGAATAGGCTTAAAACCTACAATCCTACTAGAAAAAGAAATTACTCTCCTAATGAAATAAGAAAACCTAATAACAAAAGAATTAAATTAAAGTAAAAGATAAAAACAAAATAAAATCCTAAAACCTATAGGAACGTCTAACAAACTTAGTACTATAGTTTTTCCCTATAGGAACATCTAACAAACGTAGTACTGTAGGTTTTCTAACGTCTAACTAACTTTGGTACTATAGGTTTTCCTACTTGGGGAGGATGTCTATCAATAAGTTGGCAGATTGTAACCAAAAAAAAAAAGGCGTCTGCAGTGGGTGGGTCAGGCTCTTGGAACTTGAGGTTTTGACTTTGAAACAATTTCTACCCGTCGATCTATCTTGATCCAGCAGAGAAGGAAGTGGAGTTAAATAAAATCAAAAGGTAGAATTCATTTCACCAACTTAACAACTCTCTAAGCTGCTTGATTTAGAAAAAAGAAAATTAACCGAAAATATCAAATGTAAACTATCTACAAATGGACACTTGAATGACAAAGAGAAGTAGAAAGGGCCTCCAGTTGCCAGCATTAGTGCTAATACTTAGTCAACTATGAACATGAACAATTTGATACACGAAAAAAAAGGAAATGGCAACTGGAGATACTCTTCACGTCTTCATTTTTGTCATGTTAACATCCATTCACACAACAGTTCAAATTTACTTATCTATTCAACTTTAGTTTCCAACCCCACAGCCCATCCATAAGACTGCCCTTAATGGATATACCATTAAAAATAAAACTTCCCAAATATCCTAAAATAATACAATTTATGCATAATGAACAGCTGACCTCAATCTTTTGGCTTTCAATGATAACATGTACGCATGCTAGTTTTAGTACAATGAGAGATGTTTGTATAACTAAGCACTATCTTGCAAGAGTTTCTATTTCAACAGATGAAATATATATTATAAGATATTGCAAAATGAAAATTTCCGAATTTAAAAATCTTTGTCTGTCAAACCACAAGAACAACAAAAAAATAGGCACTAATACAAGCATAAACAAACAGATGCATGAGCATGCGAGCATGCAGACATACATACTTGTGCACACACATTCTGCCAAATCCCATAGAATAATTACAAAAATCGAACCATAGAAACAGCAGAATTTATTAAACTCACAGAGTTTGCATCAGGACTCCGTGTGGAGCTCCCTAAGCCTTCATCTTCTAAGTTTCCTTGAGCTGCAGTAGGAGGAGTATACACAACTCTGAGCTTGCACTCCTCTATTGTCTTTCCACTGTCCTTATTAAACTGAATGCAAAATGGAACAATTTGCACAATATTAATATAAATTCAAATAAATATAGAGCAACAAAATTATTCGATGCACTAATATTCTTACAGTATCAGGAGGAAGCTCATCAACATCAGTATTTGGAAGCACTATTGCGCTCTGCAAGAGAAATTTGTCTTTGCATTGCATATCTGGAGGAGCTTCACCTTGTGCTTGGAGGGTAACTACAAATCCAGCAGTTAGTTAAAAGCCGAAATTACATGTCAAAAACCGAAGGAACAAGTGGCAGAGCTTATTATATAACTGTAAACTAGTATAAGTCCCTAAGAAGTGGCGTATAATTGGACAAAGCCAGCTAAAACATACCTTAGATTGAAAAACTAACTACATCTGCAATGTTATTTCATAAATTTATTATTGCCCAACTGCTATTTTGCTCTTGCTTACATCCATATCCACCTTAAAAGTTCATAACTATATTGAGCAGTCTGTCCTAAAGACATCCATTATTTGCCAAATATTTTTACTCAAAAGAGAAAGAAAGTTCTTATCAAGATGGAAAATAGGATGTAGCACCTCTGATAACACATGAATCCCAAGGCTGTATCACACCAGTGTTGGGTCTTACAAAGTACTTCTTAGGTGAAGTGGTTTTGACCTAGCGAAAAGATAGCACACTTCCGTGAAGATCATAAAAACAATTCAATAAGAAATTGAGCAATACAAATACATAAACAAAAAAAGTTTGTACAGTATCAGTGATAGTACCTTGAAAGCAACATGATGTTTTGTATTGTTCATAACTTTAAGATCGCAAAAGCTTTGTTTTTCTAGTTCAACTGCAACATGATTTCATGATCATCAGCCCGCAAGATTTATATTGAACAGCATAAATATCAGAACAATACATTTAATGAAGAAAATAATCATTATTACTTCTAGGACACTAGAATTTAAAGAAAGTAAGACCTGCCTCACACTTTTGTTATTTAATACTGACATTTCAGCACCCATGTTAAATCACAGGATAGTCCTCTAACCTTCTGTGCTTTATGCTCTTATAATTACAGGTAAAGGCATGGAATTTTGATAAACCTACATGAGTAAAAGCACTGCAGAACACTTTATGCAAGGAAAAGTAATCTTGGAAAGCACTCAAAATCCAAGGCACAGAAAAACCCAATCGTACAAACCACCAGCATTTTTATTCCTATGCAACTCTCGATATCATCATAAGATCAAATCAAAGAGTAAAATAACTACTAAAAGTTCCCACTTTAGGTCTGAGCTGGGAACCTTGACCATCTAACTCCAAAGAGGTCACAAATAGCATAGCATTTGGAAAGCGCAAGATAACCAAAATCAAGAACCTAGGATTTTCTAATCAAGGGAAGCACGACATTATTAAATAAAGTGATGACAAAGGGTCTCATTGTCAAGGTCTAAAAACATTACCAAAATTCTTCTTTCATTTTGTCCTAAAATTATTACATCTATAACTTCCATTATGCATGGAATCTCTACTTTCATCCCTCTATAAATCTTGCCACCTCAACTACCCCAAATGATGTATCGTGTAATCAACACATATATCCATACATCAACTTCCTTATAGTCATAAAGTTGCTCAAATGACTTCGAATTCCTCTTCTACACACAACTCATAATACACACAATAAACTTGTAGGGGTAATAACAATCACATTCAACTTCATATACAGAAAGAATACGATAAAATGGAAAAAGAAAACATACAAATGAACTTGAGCTCGTCTGGATGTACAGAGATCAACTGATTACCACCACCGGCAGTCATGACTGGGTCCCACCTTCAGATCAATCAAATTTTCTCGTCTCTGGATAATTACTCAATAAATTTACAAACTGCCACACAACACAACCACTCAACAAAACAATCAAGCAAAACCCTAAGTCAACCAAATTTTTTTTATCTCCTAATCCATGGAGCAAAAATAGAAAGAAAGACTGTCCTAGAATAGAAAATAATAAATTAATAGAATTACGAGTGCCAAACAAAATGCTAAGAGAAATCAAAGTGAGGTGAAAAAGAGAGAGAGAGAGAGAGAGAAACTAACCTGTGGTGAAACAGAAGTTTCTCGGTTCAAACAAACCGTAGCAGTGGCCCGATGATTTCGCCACAAAAGTCGGGTCTTCTCTTTCTTTCAGGTGGTCCTAAGGAGATTGAAACTCGGAATCTTCTGTTAAACGAGTGGTAGTACGGTGATTCTGTGCACTCAGTGATTCTACGAATAAATGGTGATGGAGATGATTGAATGAGAAGGGGGAGAAACAGAGAGAAAAGAGAGAGATGACACGTGTCGCATAAGTAGGAAGGTGTGTCCGGTTCAAAAGTAACAGACTGGAAGTAGGACCCAGTGGGAGGGGCACATGGGTGTAAAGTTTAGGTCTGACGTGTCCCCGTTGAGTTTAGGTGTTGAGTCATTATCACTAATCCTTTCCCCCCCCCTTTTAAATAATCAAATTACAGAAAAGGACTCTGCCCCGCGTTATTTAAGGAATTTTATAATTATTATTACTGTTTTTTAATAAGAGGAATTTTATTATTATTATAAGAGTAAATGACTTTTCCGCACACAAATAACGGCTTAATGACACTTTCTCGCCCATCGACTTTTAAAAACCACTTTATTACCCAACTTTACAATTTACATTCTATTTTTTTATTCTAGTATTGTTGTAACCTTACACCACCATCATTTTCTTCCCCAATCATCACTCAACAAAACCTCTCAAACCCTACTACCGTCGACCTCGTCAATTATCGGCAATCGAGCGATTAGAGTTTACGTAGCTGCTCCTCCCAAGTCAAATTCTGATCAATCTCAATCACTAAAATCTAACCTTCCACCACCAAAGGACTCATCAGTCTCCCCTTTTTAAAAGCCTTAAGAGTCTGGATCGAGTTTATATAACGCCCCACTTGAGATACATAGGTAAGATTCGCTGTATTGCTTAATTGTTCATTGATTTAGCTTCAATTAAGTTTATATGTTGTTATTGTTCAGTAATTGCCTTGGAATTGCTTGAGATTTGAGGAATTTTGAAGTTACAGGCTTCGCCGCGGCGAAGAGGTGCTACAACCCCTGGTGTAGCTGCTGTAAGTTTTCGCCGGGGCGAAGAAAGTTCTTCGCCATGGCGACAGGACGGCTAAAAAGTTTATTGAGTTTTAGATATTTTCTTCCCTAGAGGCTATTTGACTATTTTACCCCTAATTAGCAGGAAAAGTGGGGAGTAAAATGTAAGAAAATTTAAGGGAGAATATGTTAGTATGGGGGTGTGTTTGTAATGAATCAAAGGATTTGGATGGAATTTCCAAGAAAGAGCAAGGGCAAAATGGGAAGAATGAGTATGTTATGAGATATTTAGGGGGATTAGTCTTAGAAAGCCCTTCATTTCCCATTTCCACCGCCTCTTCCATTCCCCATTTTCTCTCAAGTTTCCTTCAATCTTTCAAAGATTCTAGAGGGCTTTTTGAGTAGTTTTTGGTAGAGAATTAATCTAAAGCATCCTAAGGTAAGGATTCTTGCTTTGGATGAGAATTTTCTTATGTTTTGGTTAAAGTCTTATGTTGTTGTTGTTGTTGTTTAAAGTTGTAGAGAGAAATCAAGCTACAAAAGGGAAGGAAAAGTGCTAGAGAAGTNCTTATTTTATTTTTTAATAAATGAATAAATTTAATTATTCTTATATTACAATTTTAATGTATTAAAATTGAATTAATATTTGGAATGTTAACAAAAAAAAATTAATTTAATTTAATTATTGATATTTGAAAAGAAATTAACAATTAACTAAAAACAATTACATTTATTCATTTATAAATTGTTAATTATTCATTTGAAAAGAAATTAACAATTAACTAAAAACAATTACATTTATTCATTTATAAATTGTTAATTATTCATTTGAAAATTTAATTAAACATTTAAACTTAAACAAAATAAAACAAAACAAAATCAAAAAAATAAAATCAAAAAGCGGGTTAACCCGACCCAACCCGCGCCTAACCCGGCGGGTTAGGGTTGGCGGTCCGGTTTGGACCAGCCAATTCCTTAATATTGGCGGGCCTAACACGGCCCGCCAATGTCACTGAGCAGGTCAAGACCGACCTGCCATTAATAGCAACCCGCCGTGGGCCAGGCGGGTTGCTTTTCCACCTCTAGTCATAAGCTATATGATTGCCATTTTGAGGGTTAAAATTCCCTTATTTTGACACGTCTGTAGATTGCCCGACACATGGCTAGATTTGATTGGTGATAATGTAAATTGTTTACCTTTGGTTGGATTTTATTGGTGATGATGTAGCATAAATTGATGAGTTATACTTTATGGTATATGTGACTTCATGAAATTGGTGTTTCATATTGTTTGTCATTAATGACAGATTTTAATAACCTTATTGATTGTTGTTTGTTTCACATTGACAATAAATATTTACATTTACATAACTTTATACAGAGAACATTATTGATTGCAGTTTGTTTATAAATTTTTGTGAATGTAAGAGGTTTTATACGTTGTATGTTATTCACAATGCATTTATGTGAATTTAGGAGGTTTGTGAATATGAATGGTTTGATAAGTTTTTATTTTGTTACATTGTATGTGTTATGTGTTACTCTTTAATATAAACGGTTACAGATATTTATGAGAATGTGAAGAGTTGTATATTTTAATTGGATGTAAATAGTATATATATGTAATTATTTGTATAATTTGGTACATTATTACCAACAAAAAACTGAACAAGAAACAGAGGTATAGTTATTCGTTTTTATATGTTTATATGTCATGTTCTTGCCAGTTTATTGTTTATTTTTTTTCACTTATGTTCATGCCAGTTACTTTTTCCTGAAATTTCATGTAGGTATATACAATTTGTGGAAGGAACAAAGCTGCTGCTACTTATATATCTTGGTAAAGGTAAAGTTATTCGATATTGTAATTTTTATATGTTAAAATGTGATGTTCTTGCCAGTTCCAATTTATTTTTAATATTTTTTTCATTTATAATGATTTATATTATAAGTTATGGTTCGGCAGGCGAATCATGAGCGGCCGAAGTATACTGAATTATATTATAATTTATGGTTCGCTAGCTGAACCATAATGGACCATTAGTATGTTTACAGTGGCGTTGCACAGGCAAATTATGTCTGTTTATTATTGATATAACAACTACTTTTTCCTCAAATTTGATTTAGGTATATACGAATTTTTGAAGAAACAAAGGTGTTGCTTATATATCCCTGTGAAGGTAATGACTCTTTTTATTTGTTTATTTTCATTAAAAATTCAGTTGACCAAATTATAATTACATATATAACAAGTTAATGTTTATATGCCGAACCATAGCGATATAATGATTTATATTATAAATTATGGTTCGGCAGGTGAACCATGACGAACCGTTAGTATGTTTGTCATTATGTCACAGGAACTCCACACAGCGAATCATGTAGAGGATCATGAGTGGCCGAAGAATAATGATTTATGTTATAATTTATGGTTCCACAGGCGAACCATAATGGATCATTAGTATGTTTACAGTGGCGTGGCACAAGCGAATTATGTTGGTTTATTACTGATATAACAACTATTTTTCCAATTATAATTACATATATAACAAGTTAATGTTTATATGGTGAACCATAGCGATATTGTCGGATAAAATTTGCAAGAGCAAACTATAATGATTAATATTATAGTTACGGTTCGGCAGTCGAACTATAATGTATCATTGGTATGTTTTCTTTTACGTCACAGGAACTCGACACAACGAAACATGCAGTTTTTGATTATATTGTAAAAATTCAACTGCCGAACGATGCTGCACCATTACTATACATTATTGATAATTGTCTTTTTTTCCCTTACAGGCAATTCATTGTAATGTCTTATTGTTTGCTGAAAGATCTTAACCAATCACGTGATGATTGGATAATCATTGCCAGAGTAATAAGATATTGGGAATGCATTAATTTTAAAATGAATAACGATGTGTTTAGCATTGATATGGTTTTGATGGATGAACGGGTGCAAAATATAAAGATTTATGTTAGTTAAAAGTTTTATTATTTATAAATTACACATATTTGTTACTGCTTTTAATTTGCATTGGTTTTACAAAGCAATGTGATGCATGGAACTATACCAAAAAATAGGGTTCCTAAGTTTAGAAGCTAGATTCATGAAGGTTGTATATATCTCATCAGAAATGTAAGAGTTGTAGGATGTGCTGCTTCTTACAGACCTGTGGAAGGCACATATCATATACAATTTCTGATGACCACATCTTTGAAGGAGATCAAGGAACCAAGAATAGCCATTCCAAAATTTTATTTTAAATTTTCTGGTATTCATGATCTTGAAAATAGATCACATGATACTACTTTGTTGTTAGGTATATTTAGATTTACTTATAGATATTTCAAGTCTATGAAAAATGAAGTTATATATTATATTTAACATAAATAATGATATGCAGATGTGATTGGTATTCTGAATAGAATAGGAGAAACTCAAGAAATAGTATCAACAAAAAGTAATAAAAGAGACATTAGACTGCAGATTGAACAATAAGTTTTTTTTTTTTTTTCAATATTGTTACATCCTATTATCAATTGATATAACTAACATCGTTATTAATTTCATAGAACCAATTGCTATATCTTTGTGGGGAAAAATTTGTGATGAAATAAATGATGTTATGCAAATGGAAAATGGCAAGGCTATTGTTATGATTGTTACATCAACAAATGTGAAGAAGTTTCAAGGTATTTTATACATGTTATAGAAAATTATTATATTGTGAATAATTAACTTTTTTTTTTTTTTTTTTTTTTGTGTGTGTGTGTGTGTGTAACATGCAGAGCGATTATTTCTGAATACAACTTTGGCATCAAGAGTTTTATTAAATCTCGATATTGAGGAGGTGCATTCCCTTCAAGACATGTAAGATATCAAGAAATTGTATATTATAATATTAAATGTTGTATAACATTAATATCTTATGTATTGTTATTATTATGAAAACCAAAACATGTCAGTAGTTCAATTGCAAAAGAGAATTTTCAATGAAGTATTAGTAGAAAATGAGATGTTTCAAAATAGAGTAACACTGAAGCATATTACCAATCTAATGCATGTGGTATAACAATGATGATCAAGTACAATATTTACTATGTAATTAAATTGATTATTACAACTTTATTTTTCATATAAGAAATTCATTTGAATAGGTCATTACACATTTA